GTTTATCAGAAGAACACCTGGCTACAGTACACGTCAGTTGAGCGCTGTCGCTCTGCGGCACTTGTTGTCAGCAAATCGTCCGAGTCGTGCAAAATAGAACACGTTATATTTCTCCAACTCGGCAACTTGACTCCGACTCCGACTCCAACACAAGCGAATTTCTTGGAATGCACTTGGATCAAGTCGGGGGCAAGTTGGAATGCACTTGAAATCGGGACGATTTGCTGACAAAAATCGATAGTGTAAACGCAGCCTTAGGCGGGGCTATTCCAATGGATTTACTATGAGAGCGAATCGGGACTTTGACTTCCATGTCGACTTATGCTAGCCGCACACTATACGATTTTGCGCGGGCCGCAGTCGTAAGCCCTCGCACACTATAAGACCCGCTCCAGATTGATCGGGAGGCCCCCGCACACTGTACGACTCAAAAGTCGGCGCTAACCATGGCGCTCTCGTGGCGTTCCAAGCGGATTTAGCGTGTACTAAGGGTCGGGAGTGTTTTCCCACCATTTTTACCGAATGCGGTTCCCATGGCGCTGCTCTGTGATTGGTCAATTTTCTTCAGCGCTCGGCGGCGGGTTGGATATCCACGCACACTATCCAAGTCGCGTCGTAAGCCCTCGCACACTATACGACCCGCTCCGCTCCCGATTCAAAATTCGAATCGGCCCAAAATGACCTCCCGAGCCAAACTTAAGCCTCCCGATCCAGACGTAAGTCTCCCGATCGCGCTCGGGTCGTATAGTGTGCGGCTAGCATTACGCGAACTGACGACTTAGACGGTGTCGACTTACGCAAGTTTTACTGTATCTTCTGATGTAAAAATTGTATGTCCACTTGGTGTCCCGTTCGACACGTACATGACTTTATGTGTGGTTCTCTTAGTTCCAACAATTATTGAGCGATTGTTTTCAAGTTGCAATTTAAATACATGATATAACGTTTAAATATTGTTAGATATATATTTCTTAATTGCTTAATGCTTAATTTAAGCATTTTTTACAGTTGTTCATGTCAGATTTTAGAAATATATCTAACAATATAAACATTATATATATCATATATATATATGGTATTCATATATATATATATCATATATATTTCATGTATTTAAATTGCAACTTGAAAACAATCGCTCAATAATTTAATGAGTTATTTAAAGAGGAGATTTGATGCAATCTAGATAATTTTATTATTGGACTGTTATTAGTGCTTAGTTGTCAGGGATGTCTGCATGTTTAAACTTGTTTACTTGGTGGACATCAAATAAAATAAACTGAATCAGGAGTACATATAATAATTTACCATTCTGTTTTTCAGAGTCTCACAGTAGCCATGTATGAACATCTGACAGCCAATCATCAAGTCCCACTGGATCAATTTCATATATTAGCCTGCGATTTAGATCCTGTTCTTATAGAGAGAGCTCAAGAAACTACAAAATATCCTCATAACATACAGTATGTTACATTAGACATTATGAAACATGCCTTGGCAGAAGAGGTTATGGAATCATTCATCAAGAAGTACAGCAAGTCAAAACTTGACATCACATTTTGCTTTTCAATAACAATGTGGATACATTTACAGAATGGTGATGATGGCTTGAAGCGGTTTTTAAAAGAGGTGGCATTAAGAACACAATACTTGTTGATAGAACCACAGCCATGGAAGTGCTACAAATCAGCTATGAGACGTGTTAGAAAACTTGACTGTGATGATTTTGTTCATTTCAAGAACTTGAAATTAAGGAATCAAGTTGAAGAAGAGATAAATAATTTCTTGAAGTATCAATGTTCAATGGAAGTTATGGCACAGTTTGGATCAACACGTTGGAAAAGAAAGTTAACTCTCTACAGAAATAAAAGGTGAAGGTTATTGAAATGAAATTTTGTCAATATTATGCATCTTGTTTCTTTTACTCTAACATACCTTGATACATACTATTGCATTGCCCATATCGAAATAATAACGTGTATTGTAACTCCTGTACAGTCTAAAGTCACTTACACAAGTTGGAAGTGACGTTGATTAAGTATTTACTAGTGACGTCTCAAAAGCACCATAAACACGTTAAAGCATAAAATTACAGACAAGTTTTTATTCACCAAAACTGATCACAACATATATACCTCTACGTTATAATTATCTAGATAACTATAATATGTTAACAGTCTCGTATATATATATATATGACAAATACACATCTCGAGTCTGACTTGGTTTAGTTGAAATCTATGCTTTGTAAACCTGGATATGTAAACCTTCTATATATGCAGCAGCATGATTCTGATACCTTCAGTGGTGTTTTACCAAACAATGCAATGATGGTTTTAAACCACATTTATTAGTATTAAGTGGGTGTAATAATTATGATATAGCCCAGTAGTGTAACAATCTAGTTTTATACAATACAATAATAGTCTGCATACTTTCTCTGTAACATTTATTGACTCTCTCTCTCTCTCTCTGTCTCTGTCTCTCTCTCTGTCTCTCTCTCTCTCTCTGTCTCTGTCGTCTGTCTCTGTTCTCTCGGTCTCTCTCTCATCTTCGTCTCCCCTCTCCTCCTCTCGTTCTTTGATTACATTAGTTGGCAGGCATACAGTTACAAGTACAGCTAACTTCTAGTAGGTATGCTATTGGTTTGTTGATTTAATGTCGCAAATTAAAGATCCAATATGATCTTGCTAAACATCGGGTGCCAAGTTTATTCAGAAACCATCATACATTGGTTGATGACTATAATAGTTAATGTGCGTAATTTATGCACAGAACAGCATTTCATAAGTCGCGAAGTTACGGACCCCTTAGACTTACACATGGTTATGACTACTATCCAGCCAGACAACATGTCCCGGGCGGCGTAATTATTGTGAATGACTTCTAGTAATTGCTATTTTAACAGATGTTCATGTATACTGATACGTTAGTAAACATCCATGTGGTAACAGGTTTTCATACTCTCACTGATAGCGCTGTATACATTGTGTTTTGTAAACGCAAAAATTTCCAAGGCTTGTGTCCGCAGGTGATGCAACTGTTACACCAATTGTTAGCTGGATTACCTAGATGTATTATAGGGTACACCAATGTGATGACGCAGAATTACCCTATTCTCAACGTATTAAGCTTGTTTCTAAACTGCAGCCAGTCGGATGGTCTCGCGGAACATGGCTGATAGCTGCAGTTTGCGCTGCACATTGTTTGCAGCTGGTGGCCACCCAAACCTAGATGCTAGGAAATCAGTTGACTAGTTGCTTGAATGGCTGAGTATTGTGGTGCTGCTGATCGGGTCGACTCTGGGCAGCGGCACAACGGCACAGGACTTGCCAGCGCCCTCGAACCGGGGATTCAACAGATGATGGGGGGGAGCCAACGTCGCAATCTTGCTTCCAGGTGGAAGGTGGGAAGCATCCCTATACCTCCCGCTGGCTCCCTAGCAGGCTGGGTCGCGCCATCCTTTGTTATTGCCTATGGTTGAATCGAGTATATGTCTGACCCGTCCTTGAAAGGCGAGGTCGCAGTGCCCCCGGCTGCGACTGCTGCTGCTCCAAGCTCGACTGACTTTCTGCTGTTGCCGACTTGAAGTTAGGTCCTGCAGCTGAGTACCGTTGAGTTCAAAACGAGTCGCTGCGGTTGCAAAGCGACAACACCGATGAACGCATTGCGGCCTGACTCCCGTCCTGGATACGGATGGACGGAAAGTAGCGACCCGAGTCCCCATGCACCGCTCGCGGCAACGCCGGGTCGCGTCCGTCGGCACTGCGCGAAACAGCTTCGCCGGACTTGTCCCTCAAGCTTGATGTAGGCCAGACCTGCTGCCGCGTGACGCACGCTGCAGCCGCCTGTCCAAGTCCGGGTGGCCATGCATGGGCCTCCCAGTCGCGGCCCCTGTAGCCCAGCGGTTCGGATTGCCGCGGCGGAATTTTTGTACACAAACACTTCGGATTTTTTACCAGAAGCAATTCTCGTATTCAAGCCAATGCTTTAGTAGAACACTTGTCCCGTCCTTGGCCACTACTGTCTAAGTGGGAGGCAACTAGATTTCGCTACAGTATGAAGGAAGACTACACTACGCGTGCATGAACTGCTTCTGGTGAATATACAAAGGCTGGGGTTTGTCTACTAGAACATGGTTCCGTGGTAGCATCCTTCAGACCTGCCGCTCACTAGGTGTGTTTGTCGCCTGTGTTTTGAGTTCCTGTATTCGCTCTCTGACTTTTCATTGCTTCATATCGGTTTTGCAATCGCCACCACGGCCTTTTTTTGTCACAGCAAAATCCTCCAACCTTCCAAAGCTTATGAGATAATAGCCCTGAAAGTAAACCAGGAATTTTTAAGGTGAAAAAATATACAGCTTAAAAAATGACAAATACAAATTAAAAACACTGATGCAGTACAATTTGGCAGGATGGTATGCAAAGATGTTATAAAAGTACCGCCATGCCTGATTCAATCTTTTAAAAAGTCTTTCCACTAACACTCTTAGAACACTGTAAATCGACCTATTTTTCGACAAAGAATATTATTATACAATACATAAACGATGCAAAAACGGTTACATTCCCTGCCGAATCGCATGCAGGAATTTAGGATCAAGTTTGTCGCTGTGTATCGTTAAAAAATGCCTACAATAGACGTGACAACATGCCCCAAAAGCCTGCCGAATCAAGACCCCATTGTTTTGAATGATCAATTTACAGCAATATGCAGCACTAAATAGCTATAACCCAATTTCAGTACCAAGGAGAATACATTAAGGTACAAAATCAACTCAAGAAGCATTTTGTTATGTAAGCCAAAAGCCTGCAGGAACATATACTTTTTTTTATTTTACTATACATACCGTTTTTTATTTAATGCAAAATTTTTAAAGTTAAAATTGGTAAAATGCAGGGAAATAAGTGAATAAGGTTTTCTAAACAACATCGTTTTAACATAAACCATGGAAAACAGATAGTCCGCCAGATTAAGCTGCCTGGCATATCAGAATCGTTTATTTGAGGAAATGGCAATCTGGCTTAGCCCTCACGGGTATTAGTAGTACACGAAGCCCCTGCTATCAATTTTTTCCTGTGTTGCTGTGGCACTGGACGGTCCCATACAACTTAGAGAAAACCATGTGTTTTTTGTGTCTCAGGCTGTCTCGCCTACTACCGGTATTGCACAGCGTGAATACATTCGTGGCTGTGTGGTAGTGTGTCCATGTCCTCATTTTTACCTCCGCCGCCAAAACGTAAGTTGGAGGAAGGTTTATGTATTGCTCTTGTGTGTTCCGTGGTGTTCGCTCAGCAGAATCGCTTATTAAGCAACGTAGCCAGCTCAGGCCAGCCAGCCAGTGGTACCCAGCGAGCCAAGCGGCAGCGAGCCAGAGCGCGCGTGTACATGTGAGTGAGCAGCAGCAACGAGCGGCTGCCTACCGAGCGAGCGAGCATGCCAGCCAGCGTGTACATGGTCCAGTAGCTGGCGATAGTCGTGGCTTATTCCTGTGTTCTCGTGAGTTCGTATGGGTTATGTCTGCTGGGCCCGGAGGTATGCACTCCTCTGTGGAAGTGAACTCTGTCCTAGTTATACACTTTTGAACATCGTATAATCTCTTTACTGTAGTAAACGAGATATGTTTGCAAAACTACAGTTAAAACAAACTTAGTAATGGCTTCTCGCATACTATAAATGATTCACTATTATAGACTGGAGGCTCTTAGATGTCCAACCTGCTAACCCCACTGGCCATACTGTTTGATGCGCATATATGCCATCTCTACTCAAGCTAATTCTTAACAAAGACTACATAGTGACGTGGCGAAACAGGAGTTCCACCCAATAAATGCATGCCGACGCTTAGTGAGTTAATATGGGCTCAATTTACCAGGAACTAGACGATAAAAGGCAAATCGTGTGTGTATAAGGAGAAGTTAACTCAAATTTATTAAGATATCAGGAAAACAAGTTGCCGCAGAGCGACACGCGCTCACCAGAACGGCAAGGTGCATCTGAATGCTAAACTCAGGGCAATAACGAATCATAGAGCACCCTCCCATCCCCCGCCGGCGTTCCGCACTCCTCTCGTTGTCCTCTCATATCTTTCTCCTTTCGCTGCTCACTCGCTCTTCGCTTCTCTTTCGTTCGCTAAGCTCCTCTCTCTCCTCCTCTCGTCCTCTCCTCTGCGTCTCGTCTTCCTCGTCTCTCTCTTTCTCCTCTCTCATCTCTCTCTCGTCTCTTTGCTCTCTCTTCGCCTTCACTCTCTCTCTCGTCCCTCTCTCTCGTCCGTCGCTCAGACACTCACTCTCCCTCCGTTGTCTCTGCTCTTTCTTTGTTTTGTCTTTCTCTCTCTCTCTTTTCTCTCTCTCCAATCCTCTCTCTTTCCTCTCTCACCTCTTTCGCC